ACCCCACTCCCATCCCACCCCCACCCCAGTCTCCAAAAGTGAAATAGAACAAAGAGCTCACCTGCAGCCACTTTCCCTGGAGAAGGAATGAGAACTCCACCCATGTCAAAAATGACCGCTCTGTAGGGGCCGCCTCCGGAATGTGTCCATCGCCAGGGTCCCTGGTGCCCACACCGGCTGTGTTTCAGGAAGGCTGCCCTCCAAGCCCAGTGGAGATGTGAGGACCGGAAAAGCCGCCTTATGCACATGTTGAGGCCAAAGCTGTGTGAGAAGGCACAGGGCACAGTTTGCCTTCACTGCCTCCATCCAGACCTCCATCCTGGAGCACAGGGGTGCCACCTGGACATCACTGATCTCCAACAAACACTCCAAACCACAACCAGAATTGAGCTCTACCTCCGCCCTCCCACCTCCTTTTGGTGGGTTCCTTAGCTCAGTGAAGGGCTCCACCATTCACCAAGCTGCCCGTCTAGAAAACTGGAGTGCGCACCTGACTTCCCTTAGTCCTTCACCAGCCACCTCAACTCGTTGTTCTGTGCTGTCAGTTCCTCCTGAAAATCCCACGCCCTCTCTCCACTGCCATTCTCTTGCCCACAGATCATTGCAACAGCCTCTTAAGTGGTCTCCTTGCCTCTTTCCAAATCTCCATTCTTTCTTCACTCCTTAGCCAGAGTAATCTTGCAAAAGTGCAAATTCGATCACATGCTAACCCCATTTAAAAACTTCAATGGCTCTCCATTGCCCTCAAGACACACTTCCTTAACCTGACTTAAAAGGCCCTTTAAGATCTGCCTCCCCCATTTTTTACATATTGTTAACAGAAAAAAACATTGAAACCTGTAAAGAATTTTTGTGAGTTTGAGCCAAACTGTCGACATATGCCGGGAAGCAGAACCTCAATGAATAGAGATAATGCTCCGGAGAATGGCGGGTTACATCTGTATTTATACATTGCAATCAAAGGAAAGGGATGTAGGTTGGTTACATGAAATCCCCTGGTGATAGACTAGAGAGGCAGGAGAAAGCAAAGCGCGGAAAACCCTGGGATTGGATAAAAAGTAAAATGATGGACACATACTTAGGTGGGTATAGGAACAATTAACATGATAATGAAGGAATTTGTGGTATCTGTTCTGGCGCCCAGCATATTAGGTTGTGCCCCAAGGGGTCCAGAGAAAGGGAAGTTACAAGTTACCCAGACATTTCAAGGATATGTTATCATAGGTGCAAAAAGATAGATAGGCTCAGTTAAGGTAAAGGTTGACCTTGTCAGTGAAGGTACCAGCCTAGGATGTAACTACCCACCATCACTGCTTTTAGTTCAAGTTTAATTTCAGACCATCCTTTGTGGTTACTTTAGGTCTCTGAGTTTGCAAGACCACCAGGCGGGCCTTCCCTGAGCTTGTCAGGTTAGCATGTGGCCCCTTTCGTCCACAATATTAACCTGGATGATCTAGACACACACATCTATGTGCAGCTCTCAACCAACGTTCTCCTCCTGCTACCAGGCCTTTCATATGTTTCCTTGGCCTGTGATGCTCCCTTCTACTTGTTACCTGGCTATTTCCAAACTGTCCTTTAGGTCAGTTTCTCTGTCACTTCCTTCCTGAAACCTCTTCTGGCTACCAGAAAAGATAGATGAGTCTCTCCTGTATACTCCTAAGATGCCCTGTACTCAGCTCCTCCTAGCACTAATGAGGCCACCATCACACCATCACCCTTCCTGCAGATGACTGCAATGGCCTCCTAACATTGCCTCTTTCCTAAACTGATTTTCAAAAGTTTCAGAAAAGAACAAACATATACATATAACACACACATGTAGATACATACATGTAGATATATATATATATATATATATATATATATATATATATATATTTCATCATATACCTTTCACCTAGATTGATTATTAACATTTTGCCACATTTGATTTGAGAGATCTTATACTATTCTTTAAACTTTTCTATAAGTCTGATATAAAAAGCTGGGGGAAAACAAAATAATTAAAGCAAATTCAACTTGTAGTCATTCCTCATGAAACTTTTTTTTTTGCTTTTTAAAAAAATATATTTATTGATTTCAGAAAGGAAGGGAGAAGGAGAGAGAAACATCAACAATGAGAGAGAATCATTGATCAGCTGCCTCTTGCACGCCCCCTACTGGGGATCGAGCCCACAACCCAGACATGTGCCCTTGGCCGGAATCGAACCTTGGACCCTTCAGTTTGCAGGTCGACGTTCTATCCACTGAGCCAATCTGGCTAGGGCCCTCATGAAACTCTAAGTTTTATATATATATATATTTTATTGATTTTTCACAGAGAAGAAGAGAGAGGGATAGAGAGTTAGAAACATCGATGAGAGAGAAACATCGATCAGCTGCCTCCTGCACACCTCCTACTGGGGATGTGCCCGCAACCAAGGTACATGCCCTTGGCCAGAATCGAACCTGGTACCTTTCAGTCCGCAGGACGACACTCTATCCACTGAGCCAAACCGGTCAGGGCTCTTTAAGCTTTTTATGTGATTTCTACAGTTTAAAAAAAGCTTACTGAAACTCAAGTTACAGCAAAACAGATTGGTATGACAGCCTACAAGTTTATAAGTCACTTTAGGGCCACCATAAGGATTCAATAAACTAAGAATCTAAAGGAGAGATTCTTAAGGAGTAACTCTTCAAGTTTATATACTGTGTTTTTCATGTAATTAGAAATTTGTTGAATTGGGAAGTGAATTTTGAAATGAAAAATTTAGAGGTTGATTTGTGTTTTCAGTTTTACTTCTGTTTCTATGCCAAGGCCAAAGTTTATAACAGAAGGAGAAATTTATTTATAGGCTCCAAAACATCAACAGCTTCTGTGTGAGGGCTTAACAGAGATGAAAAGTGCCTCTGGGGCCTGAAGGACTGACTTTCATCCTCAGAGGACACTGTCCTCCACATACTCCCACTAATGGATGATGGGCAATGCTCCCATGACTAGCTTGCTTCTTCTTTCCATTTAGAGAGGACAGTTCTGTTCTGGTCACTTCCCAATACTTTCTTCGGCGAAGGAAAATGCTGTGATTTCTTGTATTTCTAGGCTATGGTACCTGCCATGTCCACCGACTGAACTGCCTCTCCCTGCTGTTGGCCTGGTGAACTCCCATTCCCTTGTACACGGCAGCCTCAGCTCTCCCCTCGGGAGGGGCTCTTCTTTCTTTTTCCAGGTGGACTATGTTACTTTTTTTCTCTCTCCTCACTCTCACTGCCTTCACATTGCCTGGTTTAAATTCTAGCTCCTCCACTTACTAAGTGAGATCCTGAGCAAGTTTCTCTCTCTCTCTGAGCCTTCGGTTACTCCTCTGTAAAATGGGAATAATTATAGTACCTGTCTCATAAAGTCATTGTTACATGAGGTAAAGTATGTAAAGCACTCAAGTTAGGACCTGGCACACTGTTAAATGTTATCTACTACTGCCCTGGCCGGTTTGGCTCAGTGGATAGAGCGTCGGCCTGCGAAATGAAGGGTCCCAGGTTTGATTCCGGTCAAGGGCACATGCCCAGGTTGTGGGTTTGATCCCCAGTGGGGGACTTGCGGGAGGCAGCTGATCAATGATTCTCTCTCATCATGGATGTTTCTATCTCTCTCTCTCCCTCTTCCTTCCTCTCTGAAATCAATAAAAATATATTTAAAAAAAAATGTTATCCACTACTGTAAAATACTATAAAATGTTCACAAGGTCTCATGTTATATGCACATACTATGTGCAAATGGCACATGTACTTTCTCATAAGCCAGTGATTCTTAACAGGGAGTAATTTTGGCCCCAAGGGGACCTTTGGCAATGTCTGGAGACATTCTGTTTGCCACCACTTGGGGAGTGCCACCAGTACCTCAGGGGTCAGGCCAGGGGTGCTGCTAAACACTTCATAAAGCATAAGAAACACGCACACCTAGGAGAATGATCAGAACCCAAAATGTCAACAGTGCAGAGGCTGGGAAACCCTAACGTAAGCAGTGTATACTGAAGCACATTCCATAGGGCACAGTCACAAGGTGTATGTCCTCGATCTACCTTCCTATGTCCAGGACGGGCTGTGATATGTCTAGACATGATAGCATACTCAGAATAGCATCTGGTCATGTATGCACCATACGCATCGATTGTGGCTCTCAGTATCTATCCATGTGCTGCAGGCATACTGGAAAGAAGGCTGAATCTCAGAAAAACGGATGGACACAGAGCCACAGGCTCTGTTCACTTCACCTTCACAGCTGAACCTTCACAGCTGAATGAGGGTATTATTCCAATCTTACGCAAAACCTAGATCAAGGTCACACAACTAGTGGTCAAGGGCGACTGCATTCGAAAAGGAGCTGGGTGTCTGTCTTATTCACGGATGTATCCCCGCCATGCCAGCAGTGCCCGCGGCTCTCCGCAAACGTTTGTGAAGTGACGGGGTGGGGAGCAGGACCCAGATCCGCAGCCAGCCTTACCCCGGACAGGGCCGGCGTCCCTGCGATCGAGTCCCTGCTCCTCCCCCGGGCCCTCAGAGAGCTGGACTCCCCTGAGTCTCAGGACCCGTCCGGAAAGTGCGGCCGACACAAAGCCACCCTGCCTCAAGCTAGAGCTAGCGGTCAAACAGGGCAGGAAGGGGCAAGAGCTCTCCGCAGACCGCGGGTCCTCGGACGCTTCGGGGACCTCGCGGAGCGGGAGCCCGCGCGCCATCAGCTGAGGGGGGCTGAAGGCCAGGCCTGTCGGGTAGGTGAACGTGGGCCTGGGCGCCAACCCGCCCATCGGCCCCGTGTGGGGGGAGGGAGTGCCCGCCGTGCCCACGCCGTGCCCCCTTCCCAACCTCAGCGAGATCCGGTCCCGGGGGCTCCGGCTCCGAGCTGCCACGCCGGTCACGCGGCTGCCACCCCAGCCAATCGGGGCGCGCGCCGGCCCGCGCATGCGTAACCCTGCGGGTCAGCGACGGCGGCCGGGAGGCGGAAGTGGCGGTGGTGGCGGCTCGGGGGGTGGTGTGAGGAGCTGCTGCGCTGAGGCGGCGGCAGCGGCGCTGAGGTGGTGGCGGCGCTGCCTGCCTCGGGCCGCCCGGCCTCTCGGCTCGACCCCCAGCCTCTCCTGAGCCCGCCGGGGCCCGCGCCGGCCAGCGCCTGCCCTATGAGTGTGTCACTGGTTGTCATCCGACTGGAGCTCGCGGAACACTCGCCCGTCCCCGCCGGCTTCGGCTTCAGCGCCGCGGGTGAGTGCCGCGGCCTCGCCGCCCCCCGCGTCGCCGGCGCCTGGGCCCCGGGGGGACTTGTCCTCCCCAAGTGCGGGCCTGGGGAGGGCCCCGGGGAGGGCTGTTGCCTCAGGAAGAAGCTGAGGGGTGGGGGGCCTTCCCAGGCGGCTCCGGGGGGAGGCCCTGCCCGACCCTCCCTCCTGCCGCCGCCCACGGGAACTCTGTTTACACCTGGCGCGTCGCTGCCCCGCCCTCGGTTACAGTCGAGTTTATGAGTCGCTTTCCTCTAGGCTTTGTGAAGGCGGGGACTGGATTCCCAGCGACGCGGACGGTCCCTGGTTTAATTAAATCGTTCCTCTTTGGAAAAAACTATTCATTGAGGCGCCTTGTAACACTGGCAGTCCCTGTAATTAACGTTGGTGCATTTCCTGTGGCCCACAACCGGACTGTATGCATTTTGTCGTAACAACCCTGTTCGGTTAGAGTGGCGGATGCCCCTGTTCACAGACTGGGAAAGGAAAACCCAGTGATTAAGTGACTTGCCCGCGATTTATCCGGGAGACTGGGGTTCTACCTCGGAGACCCGGAGCCCTTCCTCACCGGCCCCAGGACCCCCCGAGGCTGTGAGAGCGGCCGTGGCCGTTCCTTGGACCTCAGACCATTGCCTAACAGTAACATCCACCCCGAAACGCTTACCGAACGCACCCTGTCTCCTGAGCTGTAGTTTGTGTGCAGAATCAGACGTGGTCCCTCCGTAATGGAACCAATAGTTCCCGGGGGAAACGGGTGAATTAATTACAGAATAAATAGAGAACCACAACTATGAAGGCGGAGAAGAAACAGTCTGGAAATCTATTGCAGGAGGCGCCGTTTGGTTTGGGGCGGGGGGTGGGGGGGGCCGAGGCAGGTAGGGGTGGCATCAGTGGGAGACTTCCCTGAGTATGTGAATGTTGGAGCTGCAACTTAAAGATTGAGTATTATTTTATGGGCGAGGAGCCATCTTTAAAGGTTAAAAATGATCTCTGGGTTCTGAAAGTCCACCAAACCTGCACTAGCCACATGGTCCCTTCTGCATGGCTCAGTCATTGATGCATGTAGTCGTTTATTCAGGGAATCTTCAAATGTGTGCTAGGTGCTGTAGGGTGAGCGGTGGACACAACAGGCCTGGTCTCTGCCCTGATGGGCCTGATAGTAAGGATATTTCAGTGACGTCTCCAAACTCCTTTTCCGTTGACTGAAGACAGTGATCACAGATTGGCAGGAGATGGCTCCAATACAGGGTGTTGAAGAAGGCTACCCCTAAAAATTTTTGTAAGTTTTCTTTATTAATGATAATGATTTGGTACTTTATTTTGGGTTCAGCACACAATTGTGCTTTACTAGGTATTACAAAAAGGTTGGTTCATCTGGGCATAATCACTGTCAAACCTCCTTGAAGGGGTTGCTCTCGTTAAATTCTTTAGAAGTGAATAATTTCCCTAGAACAGCCCAGCGTTTCTGAATTGATTGCACTGGGTGTTGACTGACTGTCTGCTGGGCACTGCAGGAGCCCCAGAAGTGAGTGAGATGGACACTGCAACGGCGTCGTCAGGAAAGCAGCAGAGAAAAGGGAAACCTATCGGTGGATACATTAAGAGTGGAAAAGAGCCTGTTTTATTATCAGGTATTAATCATTCATGTGTTCTGTAGCCGGGGAAATGTCCGATGAGGAGATCAAAGAGAAGACACTAGCTTCAGCTGTAGCCTGTTTAGAAGGGAAGTCACCAGGGGAGAAAGCAGCAATCATACATCAGCATCTTGGCCGTCGAGAAATGACAGACGTGATCATTGAGACCATGAAGTCCAACCCAGGTATGCTTTCTAAAACCCTAGACTCCTTTGTCACGTAAATCTCTGGTTGCCTGTTTACACATGTTGGTCAGTGAGCCCATGCTTTTTAGCATACTTTTATCTTTCACTGACTGTGTGCCTTACATGAGATTGCCAAGGCACATTTCAACTTCCCCAAATATTTCTTCTAAATTAATCCTAACAATCTGGGTCGACAACTCTATTCGGTGAGGAGAGCTACTTACCACCTAGGTCAGTGGCAGATCATGAATGAATCCAAATAAGCATGTTGTGTCTCTCCCTGCTCTGCCAGCTCACTCCAGCCAGGGGAGTGGATGAGTGGGTGTATACTACATCTCCAGCATGGAGGTGGTTACAACTGGTAGGGTTGGTTTTCAAACTTAATAGCTCTGAATGTTTGTCCTATTTAAAAGTGCATGATGTAAGGCACCTGGTTTTATTATGATATCAACAAACTAGAGGCCCAGTACACGAATTCATGCACATCGAAAGGAAATTAATTAGGAGAAATATTTTAGAGGCTGGGGAGGGACTGTGGGAGGGCTCCAGGGCGTGTCTGGCCCCTCTCGCCCAGTTCTGATCAGGGACAGGCTGGACCCCAGCAGCAAGCTAACCTGGTCAGCATCTGCCCCCTGGTGGTCAGTGCGCATCATAGAGACTGGTCGAGTGGTTGACCGAACAGGCGGACACTTAGCATATTGGGCTTTTATATATATACTAGAGGTCCGATGCACAAAAATTTGTCCAAGAGTAGGCCTTCCTTCCCCGGCTGCTGGCACCGGCTTCCCTCTGGCACCTGGGACCTGATCTTCCCTCCTCTTGCCACCAGCAGGCACCCAGGACCCGGGCTGCTTCCCTCCGGCCCCGGCTTCATCAGGAAGGACATCCGGTCTAATTAGCATATTACCCTTTTATTATTATAGATAGATAGATGTAAGAGTCACCTTGAGGGCGATAATGGGATTTTTATGGAGGAAAGAGCACTTTCAAGTTGAGATGCCCCCAAAACATGGCTGTTCTGTGAATGTAGTTCTTAATACATGACAATTTCTCTGTCAGAGTTCATTATTCTGACTCAAAATTTTAATCTAAGTAGAATCCTGCAGCATATTTCCTATCATTTTATAATCTGCTAATTTTTGATTTGTGAAAGATGACCTGAAAGCTTCAATGGAAGAAAGAAAGTCTTCAGAAGCATCCCCCACTGCACAGAAAAGTAAAGATCAAAGTAAAGAAAGTGTAAATACTGCTCCCGATTCTCCATCCAAACAGCTTCCAGACCAGATTTCATTCTTCAGTGGAAATCCATCAGTTGAAATAGTTCATGGTATTATGCATCTATATAAGACAAAGTAAGAAAAACCTTTTTCCTTTTGAGTTGGTCTATTTTTTGCTTTAGGGAGGAGAAAAATCTTTTACCCTGAAGGGAAGTGTGTATTTTAAGCTTCAAAAACATAGTACTTTCATATATTGTGTGTTAGAGAATTCTTAAATGTTTTAATTTGGTTGATCTTGTAGATTGGGTCAGAGCTTCTCCTTATAAAAGAAACGTGTAAATAGCCTTCCTAGGAAAATATTTCCTGAGAAGGTAGGCATGCAAGATGATTGGTAAAGGGAAAGGAAAGAAGATAGCAAAGGAAAATTACAAATGATCCATAACATCACAGTAGTCTCATATCCCCACCAAATCTTTATGAAAGAAACTAAGAAATCAGGTAATGGGTAGCAATTTCATCACCTCTTTTTACCCTTTTCTGTGGTCCAAGCATTAGGCTTGCAGGAGGCCAACAGAAAGGAAGCGTTTGCCTAAATCTATGAGCTGGGCCATCAACTCCTGGGATAATTAGTAATTGATTTCTTTAAAGGCTGTCCTTATCCTAACTCGGATGCTAAGTTCCTACAGGGAAATAGTGAATACTCAGAATATTCAGGTAGCCATGTGGAATCACAGCTGTTGAAGTGAGTTTGCACCATTTCAGAAAGGCTAGGGAGAATCCTCCCCACCCCCATTCCAGCTAGTACAACCCAGCAACACTTTCTGTAATCTTCAGAGTCACATCTTCATGGTTCAGAATTCTCTTTCTTATATTTAGAGCTCTTTTATCTTCTAGACCCTTAAGAGAAGTCCAGAGTTAGCATTGTGCTTCCAAGTTACACAATGAGAGATTTTTTAATATATATTTTTATTTATTTCAGAGAGAAAGGAGGAAGGAGAGAGATATGATGAGAGAGCATCATTGATTGGTTGCCCCCTGCATGCCTCACTCTGGGGATCGAGCCCGCAACCAGGGCAGGTGCCCTAACTGGGAGAACCCGTAACCTCCTGGTTCATAGGTCAACGCTCAATCACTGAGCCATGCCAGCTGGGTGAGAGATTATTATTTAAAAAACTAAACAAGAACAACTAACGAAAATAAAACAACAAACTGCAAATTTGCCGAATGCAGATTTGTAACCATAACAAGCTTTTAACTAAAGATTAAAAATTTCACTGGTGTGTATAATGTAGAACATTACGAAGCTTACCTTAAACTCCATGGCAGATATATTTAAGGAATTCTGCATTTACCTATGTAGTATGGATTTTCAAATAAAATAATAAACTGTTTAATTGATATGTGAAGTATTACATGTTTTATTTTTCCTATTGGACGTAAAAGTTGTCTAATTAGTGTTGTGTGAACTAACTATACGTCTATTCAAGACAGTCTAATTATTGTCTTATTAGTAAGATGACCTCCTTAAAAGAAGATGTGAGGCGCAGTGCCATGCTGTGTATTCTCACAGTCCCTGCTACAATGACCAGTCATGACCTTATGAAGTTTGTCGCCCCATTTAATGAAGTAATTGAACAAATGAAAATCATCAGAGACTCTACTCCAAATCAATATATGGTGCTGATAAAGTTTAGTGCACAGGTAAAAGTTAAGATATTAAAAATCTCTTTGCCACAGAAACTGTGTTTTTGAAATTGTATAATACTAGCTGTGTGTGGTTTACAGCATTTTGCACTTAAGATTCATAACTTATCTTCTAGGGTATTGTAATTCTAGAATTACTTCTAAATTAATTAGCAGACACTGAATTTTCTAATTCATACCCATACTTTGTTATAAATCAGATTTGGTATGAAATCTAGGGTTTTTTGTTTTTTTTTTTTTTATCCAATAGTAACTATTTCAGTAGAACAATAGTTTCCAAACTTTTAAAAGTTGACAGCAATTATTAATTTGCCATTATAACACTTTTGCCCCTGCTTCTTTCATGCTCTTTTTAAAAGACCTTCTTTGGCACATTTTAGAAAATAAGATCTCTCTCTCTCTTTTTTAAAATTTTAGTGACGAGGGATTTTTGTGACATTCCTTGACGTATTAAAGATGCTCTAGAATTCTGATTGGAAATAGAGAATAGAGAAACAAACACTGAAAGAGTGGTGATATTTTCAGTTTTTAAAAGCACTTGTGCATTATAACTCATACTTTACCTGTCTCAGTTCTAAAGATGTTAGAAAGATATTCTTGGGAGTATGCATATTTCTTTATGCATATAAAAATGAGGTAAGCTTTAGGTGTTATACAGGTTATTAAAGAGCTACCTTATCTGTAGGTTTCAATCTGTGTGGTTTTTTTAATAGCCTCTTATATTTGTCTCTTCATTAGTTTTGAAATGCGGCTTTGTCAAAAATTACTTCAGTCTCACCTCATTTGCAGATTGGCAAAGATGGGTGTTCCTGTAGGGTCATTTGCCTTTGTCTCTGACTGGTCACTGAGATTGGTGGGTGAAAAGGAGCCCATGACACAAGATCCACTAGGCATTTCCTTCTTCGTTATAGAAAATCCAATGTTGACAGCAGTAGCAGCCATTCATTGTTCATGGGAAGGAAGTTAAGAGAAGTGAGTTATATGTTCCATGGCCCACAGAAAGAGAACACTTAGAATGGAGTTCTGTGTACAAGAGGGTGCACAATTGTTATCTTTAACCTTCCAAAGCACCCTATCATTGAACGAGACATTCAAAAGAAATGTTTCAACTGTCCTACAAGTTGAGAATGGAAAAGCACTTAAACAACTGCTTTCATTGTCAAGAGACCCGAGGTCACTGAAGGGTTTTGCAATAAATGGGCAAGTGGTATGTTAAACCTTTTAAACCTGGTAAAGATAATATAAACTACTTGTTCTGTACCATTCACAGTGCTAAATGCTTAATGTGAGTTATCTCATTTCATCCTCACTAAAACCCTGTGAGGTAGTAAGTACTGTTGTTATCTTTGTTTTACAAAATGAGGAAATTAGCAGCTGAGAGAGGTTGGGAATTTGCCCAGGGTTACATAGCTAGATGTAAGTGACTGAGCTGAGGACTGACCCCTCACTTTTAATCCCTAGGGCAGTGATGGCAAACCTTTTGAGCTCGGCGTGTCAGCATTTTGAAAAACCCTAACTTAACTCTGGTGCCGTGTCACATATAGAAATTTTTTGATATTTGCAACCATAGTAAAACAAAGACTTATATTTTTGATATTTATTTTTATATTTAAATGCCATTTAACAAAGAAAATCAACCAAAAAAATGAGTTCGCATGTCATAGGTTTGCTATCACTGCCCTAGGGTGTACCCCTCTTACCATAAGGAGTGGTATGAAAGTGTGGGAAAGGGGAGACAGTCACTGCCTGCAAGAAATTGTGTAATGGCAGTAATTTAGTTACTGCTTCTACTTAACAAAGCCGATCAGAAAAAGGAAAAATCACAGAAACAGATTGGAGAAAATGTTTAAGAACATACTAGATTTGTTTGTCTGAAGTCTAATAAACCCACCAATTTTCCTGTAACAAGTGCTTCATAGTGTGCAGATAATGCTGTGGGAATTTGCTATTACTGTTAATACGTTTTCTTTGTACTCACGCACTGGCTCTCTACCTCTGTCTTTTGATCAAGTGCAGGTTGCTCAAGTTGATGAATGTTTTCTAAAACTTTGAAACAGCTTACTGCATGCTCTTCCCCATGGGGACGGAACCCTTGACTTTGGTGTCATGAGTTGTATTATCGTTAATGCTGGATCTTAGGGTCAGAGGCTCATCCTATCAGGGACTTTCTAAGGCCTACAAACACCCTCCTAGTATAAGACTTGATGTTATTAAATTAATATTGGGCCCTAATGAAAATAATAGACTCAATAGTTACCACATGTTGAACACTTGCTTAGATAGATGCCAGGCCTGTGCTAAGTGCTTTTCATGCTCCTTGAGTCCTCTCAATAATGCCATGAAGTAGATGTTGTTATGTTATTTATGTAATTGTGGGAACAAGGGTGAATAAGTCCCTTGCCCAAAGCTACACAGCTAATAGTTGTCAGAGTTGGGAATTGAAGCCCAGGCAGCCTGACTCCATAGCCTGGGCAGCTAACTATCTATCTATCTATCTATCTATATATATATATTTTTTTTTTTTTAAATATGTTTTGCCCTAACCGGTTTGGCTCAGTGGATAGAGCATGGGCCTGCAGACTCGAGGGTCCCCAGTTCGATTCTGGTCAACGGCATGTACCTTGGTTGCGGGCACATCCTCAGTGGGGAGTTTGCAGGAGACAGCTGATTGATGTTTCTCTCTCATCGCTGTTTCTAACTCTCTATCCCTCTCCCTTCCTCTCTGTAAAAAATAAAAAAAAAAATATTTTTTAAAAAATATGTTTTTATTGATTTCAGAGAGGAAGGAAGAGAAAAAGAGAGATAGAAACATCAATGATGAGAATCATCGATTGGCTGCCTCCTGCATGCCCCCATTGAGGATTGAGTCTGTGACCCGGGCATGTGCCCTGATCAGGAATTGAACCATGACCTCCTGGTTCATAGGTCCACACTCAACCACTAAACCACACCGGCCGGGCTATATTCTTACTCCTTTTTCTCACCAGAGAATTTTTATTAAGAAATAATGGACCGCCCTAGCCAGTTTGGCTCAGTGGATAGAGTATTGGCCTGTGGACTGAAGGGTCCCGGGTTCGATTCTGGTCAAGGGCACATGCCTGGGTTGTGGGCTCAATCCCCAGTGGGGAGCGTGCAGGAGGCAGCCAATCTATGATTCTGTCTCATCATTGATGTTTCTATCTCTCTCTCCCTCTTCTTTCCTCTCTGAAATCAATAAAAAATAATTAAAAAGAAAAAAATAATGGACCTTCTCTATATCTTTTATAACCTCATGAATTTCTTTTGGCCTCGGCTTTATGCTGGAGGTATTATAAAGAGACTAGAGACCTGTTGCACAAAATTTGTGCACTTCGCGGGGGGGTGTCCCTCAGCCTGGCCTGTGCCCTCTCGCACTCCAGGAGCCCTTGGGGGATATCTGACTGATGGCTTAGGCTGCAGTCAGACATCCCTAACCCTGCCATGGAGACGGGAGAGGCTCCTGCCACCGCCACTGTGCTCACCAGCCACGAGCCCGGCTTCTGGTGCACTCACCACCAGGAGGCAGCTCCTGCGTTGAGCATCTGCCCCCTGTGAGTCAGTGCACTTCATAGCGACCAGTCATTCTGCCGTTTGGTCTGTTTGCATATTAGCCTTTTATTATATAGGATGGGCTCACAAAGTTGACTGTGACCTTTAGGAAATTTAGTCTTTAGTTAAAGAATTTGTAATTCATCAGGACACAGGAAAGCAGGAGGTTCAATTTCATATTTCTTGGGAACAAAACTTTTGAGAGGATAGTGTATGTTGGCTCGTTTTCACTTGCATGCTTAGGGCAACCTTGAAGACCCCTCTTTTTTTTAAGTATATTTTATTGAATTCAGAGAGGAAGGGAAAGGGAGAGAGAGATAGAAACATCAGTGATGAAAATCATTGATCGTCTGCCTTCCGACTGGGGATCAAGCCCACAACCCGGGCAGGTGCCCTGATGGGGAATCCAACCGTGACTTCGTGGTTCATGGGTCTACACTTAACCACTGAGCAACCGTGGCCCAGCAAGACCCCTCTTTTGAGAAGTAAAAATACGTTCTCAATACTATAGTGACCATCATGATAATAAAGGAACCTTGATCATGATGGATTTTTCTTTTTCTCAAATTTATCCTGAGACAGGAACAGTAGGAACAAAGACTAGGGAAAAAACAAAAGCTGGTTTCTTTAAATTTTCGGCTCTATACAGTGCAAACATTTTAAATAAAAGAGTTGTTTATTTTGCGAATTTTGCAGTTAGCTTCATGCTTTTGTGCACTTCAGTGGTGGGTTGAAGTGGGAACCATGTGTATTTTGTTTTCTACTCTTGTCCTAGTACATAGCACAGTGCCTGACATATGCTAGGTACTCAGTAAATATTTGAAAAAGTGAAGCTACATTTCCAATACCAAGATTTTAAAGAAGAGATCAGTGTGTTCAAAAAATACATTTCTTCGGTATAAACAACTCCCTCCAGAAAGGATTCATTTATCTGGTGCTGAATAGAATTCATCACATGCCCTGTGTCACACAAACCTTGTTCCTTCCTCTGAGGAGGCATAGTCGCTTAGTGAGCATTTACAGAGCTGGAGGCCCAAAGAGGGGTCTTCCTTTCCTCATTCAGCTGGTGCAGCTCCTGGTGCTTGGGACCCTGAAGAGCTGACCAGTGGCCCTCATTCCCAGCCCGTCACTTTCCTCAGAACATGAATCCATTTGCTCACTGTACTGCTTCCTCATCTGTAAACATTTCAGGAAGAAGTCATTACTCTTAAAGAATGGGGGAAGCCATTAGATTGCCTCTTCTTAGTATTAAAGAAAATGTATTATCCAAGAACATTTTAACATTTTGACGTTAAAATGAATTGTAGTCAGTGCACTAGGTTGTTTCCTGAAAGAAAACCTCCCTACCCCCCACCTAAATATAACTGTTCAGAATTGGTTGTCCTTTCTCAGCTGTTTAGCTCCCTTGCTCATATTAAGAAAGCATAAATAAGAATCCACACTTGATTACATCATTAGAATGACATTTAAAGCTGTGAAAAGCTTATTGTAAGCTTTTGCTGTTAAAGATTCAGAACCCCATGAAGGTAGACCTGCAGGACAATTTTTGCCTGCTACAGACTTGAATCTCTTCTTAGATGTTAACAATGTGGCATTTCCTTTTGCAGATACCCTTCCTCCCCACAAGCAGCCTGTCTACATTGATAGGGCCAAAGCACACAACTTCCTATGTTTGGGCTAATGGCCGTGTGGGAGTGAAACCCAGACAAGCCTTGGCCTCTAGCTGCCTCTAAAAATTACTGAGTTTAAAAACTGAAATCATCTCTTTGTTACTTTCTACTAAGGCTAGTCTAGGTTTGATTTACTTGTGTCCATATTCACAAATGCACTTATGCCTTTGCAAGGGACTTTTTCTTCTAATTCCATCTATCTATCACTCCAAGGGAAGGAGGCTTAGTATTTCAAAGGCTCATTCATCTTGATTTTAGCCAAGAGCTTTGCTTTTGGTATTACACACTGGGTTGCTTAAATTTCCATATGGGATCCTTATCATGTATCATTATTACTTGGTTTATTGAAGAGATCTTAGCTTTTCATTCCAGTTCCACATGTCCTTTATTTTTTTGAACATAGATGCTGACATATTTTGAAAATGACTATTCCCTAACAGTCTTCCATTAGGATTTGGTTCCAAGCTTTGCAAAAATAAGTGTTTTGCTTTTAGCTGCTATGAAAGTGCTGACTAGAGGAGAAAAAAATACTGCTATCAAGGGAAGTATTGACCATTGCTGGTCGAATAATAAAATTATACTAGCTGTCAGCTTATTACACATTAGTAGCTGTTTCTTGTTCCAGTAAAACTATCATGTGTCAGGAAACATTGTAGAGATGTAGGATATTGAGCTGCAGAGTTCGATTAGCCTATGAACCGGCTTCCTGCTTCTGTAGATGTTACTTTTGGCCGTTGATTTCTCTCTCTCTCAAGTATAAGTTTTAAAAGACAATGAAGAGAATAATTGAAGCTATGCATCTTGAATATAAAGCGCGTTTTCAGGCTCTCAATTTTTTCCTTTTCCCCATTGGTGTACCTAGGCTGATGCAGATAGTTTTTATATGGCATGCAATGGCCGCCAGTTCAACTCAATAGAAGATGATGTTTGCCAGCTGGTCTATGTGGAAAGGGCCGAAGTACTGAAATCTGAAGATGTAAGTATAAATAATCCTTATATTTGATATACATATCAGAATGGTATAAACAGTAAGACATCTACGGAAATGTCCAAAATAGGCCAATCCATAGAGACAGAAAGTAGATTAATGATTGCCAGAGGTCAGGGTAAGAGGAGAGTAACTGCTGATGAAAACGTTTCTTTTCAAGATGATAGAAATGTTCTAGAATTAGGTTGTGGTGATGGTTGCTCAAACTTGTGAATAACGAAAAAACAAAACAAAAAACACTCACTGAATTGTATACTTTGGTGAATTTTATGTCCGTTTTAAAAATTGTCCAAAAATGTAAAAAAATAAATAAAAGGATATTATCTATATCATTGAAAATTAGGTTCATCTATTCTAGATCAATGAAACATTGCCTAGAGCCTAAAAGAAGTGTTTTTATTTTAAATATCAACCCTTAATCCCCATCCTAATTTATTTTTTATGTTTTTATTTATTTTAGAGAGGAAGGGAGAAGGATAGAGAGAAACATCAATGATGAGAGAATCATTGATTGGCTGCCTCCTGCACACCCCCTACTGGGGATGGAGCCGGCTACCTGGGCATGTGTCCTGACCTGAATTAAACTGTGACTTCCTGGTTCATAGGTTGACGCTCACACCTGCCAGCCAGACTCTGCTGCTTTTCTTCATTTGTATTCTGTTACAATAATAGACCTTTACACTTAGAGTTAGGAGTCTGTTGACATTTTAGATTCTCTGTTTTAAGGTTTTGGAGGCAGTCTCCCTTCCTAGAATGTCAGCTCTGTGAGGGCAGGGATCTTTGTCTGCTTTGTTCTCCTCTGTATCCCCAGTGCCTAGCACAGTGCTGGGAAGATCAGAGGCGCTCAATCAGTATTTGTTGCTTGAATAAAAATTTTAAATTATTTGCACAGAGCAATAATGTTGAGAATATCCTTCCAGGAGTCAAAAGGCAATAGGAAAACTGTTGTTTTAAAAAATTAGAACTGGTGGATGAAGAGTGAGGCTTATGTGAGGTGTTTCACTCTAGGGTGCCAGTCTCCCTGTGATGGATCTGACCGAGCTCCCCAAGTGCACGGTGTGTCTGGAGCGCATGGATGAGTCTGTGAATGGCATCCTCACCACGTTATGTAACCACAGCTTCCACAGCCAGTGTTTGCAGCGCTGGGACGACACGACGTGAGTACAGGAGCGAGCTCATCTCCCAACCTATTAAAGCCCACTCTTACCCTTTCCCAGAATTAAAATAGCCACCACCAAAAGTGAACCAGTCCAACTATTTGACTTTATTAATATTCTTTTTTTTTTAAATATATTTTATTGATTTTTTACAGAGAGGAAGGGAGAGAGATAGAGAGTTAGAAACATCGATGAGAGAGAAACATCGATCAGCTGCCTCCCACACATCTCCCACTGGGGATGTGCCCGCAACCCAGGTACATGCCCTTGACCGGAATCGAACCCGGGACCCTTCAGTCCGCAGGCCGACGCTCTATCCACTGAGCCAAACCGGTTTCGGCATGGCTTTAAAAAATATATATGTTTTTATTGATTTCAGAGAAGGAAGAGGGAGAGAGAGATTGAAACATCAGTGATAAGAGAGAATTATTGATTGGCTGCCTCCGCACATCCCCTAATGGGAATCAAGCCTGAAACTGGGCTTGTGCCCTGACTGGGAATTGAACCGTGAGCTCCTGGTTCATGTGTCAACGCTCAACCACTGAGCCACTCAGGCTGGGCTCCCTTTTTCCTTTTCATTCTCAGGGTCATACTTACAGTTCACAAAGGCCGTTCTGACACTTAGATTTCAGAATTAGTTTGTTGTTTTCTTATCCAACCACTACTACAGCTGCCACACAGACCACAGGGATGGCAGAGGGCTAGTTTCTAGCTTTGACAAGACGCCTGCTGCTTACCAGCTGCCATTTCGTTATTTCTTCAAGTTGTCTTTTGTCTTTTCTGTTGATACTGAAGAAAGAGACAGACTGGATCCTTTAGCTTTCTCTTAGGAACACAGACTTTTCTTTTTTATATATATTTTTATTGATTTCTGGGAGGGGGAGGTGGGAGGGGGAGGGAGAGAGATAGAAACATCAATGATGAGAGAGAATCATTGATTGGCTGCCTCCTGCATGCCCCCTACTGGGGATCAAGCACACAACCTGGGCATGTATCCTTGACCAGAATCGACCCTGGAACCCTTCAGTCCACAGGCTGATGCTCTATCCACTGAGCCAAACCAGCTAGGGCAACAAAGACTCTTTTTCTGTGACAAGAACTCTGTGTTCTTCCTGCTGATTTCCTTTTGTTGGTTTTATTTATGCAGTTGGGTAACAAACTGATACTAGTTGTTTCTTGAGCATTCTCTCTTCTTGTGCCAATTCAGTTAGCCTCAACAATAATTCACTTTGTATCATCTTTGCCCATCTGACAAAAATATTAATGGCTAGTACTTAACTCAGTTACTTTGTCTTAAGTATAATTGAAAAGGGTTAATGGATATTTTCAGTGTCCCTTTTTTCAATTTTATTGAAGTATAATTGACAGTCAAATTATATATTTAAGATGTATGACTTGATGACCCAGTCTACGTATACATTGTGAAATATTAAATATTCACCACAACCAAGCCAGTTAACATAATCCATCACTCATACTTTTACCATTTCCCTTTTTCCTTTTTTTTTGTGTGTGTGTGGTAAGAACACCCAAGATCTACCCTCTTAGCAGATTTCAAGTACACAGTATAATATTAACTGTAGTCACATTAATGTGCACCAATTCTACGAACTTACTCATCTTACATAACTGAAACTTTGTATCCCTTGACATCTTCCTATTTTCCTATCCCCTGGGCCCTGGTTACCATCTTTCTACTCTATGTATCTATGAGTTTGGCTTCAATGTCGTTTTTTGTTTGTTTTTTAAAATATATTTTTATTGACTTCAGAGAGGAAGGAAGAGGGAGAGAGAGATAGAAACATCAATAATAAGAGAGAATCATTGATCAGCTGCCTCCTGTACACCCCACAATGGGAATCAAGCCTGCAACCCAGGCACGTGCCCTTGACCAGAGTCAAACCTGGGACCTTTCAGTCCACAGGTCGACGCTCTATTCATTGAGCCAAACCAGCTAGGACTTCACTGCTGTTTTTATTGCATTTTGTAAATTGAAACTTGAGTACTCACAGAGCGCTGGTATCTTCTTCCACATGATGTTCCTTATATATGAAAGTGTCATGTGTATTTCAGGAAGTACATTGACTTACTTTATTTTTAATTTGGTGAAATTTACTAGAGTTTAGTTTCAACCCTTAGGAACAACCTTGAGAGGACTGGATTCATTTTAAATAATTTAAACTTTTTGAAGTGGGTATAAGGTAGATTATTTAAAGTAAAAATACCTTATGGGTACCTAGACATGAAAAAATTAATAACTTGTCTCAAGTCCCTAATTCTAGCCCATTATGTAATCCTTTGATTATGTAAGCTTTAGACAGGAAAGTGGGAAAAGGTATGAGGCAGATGAAGATTTCTCCCTTTCCTCTGCTTTATCAAGGTTTTGTTTTGTTTTCATTTTGTTTGCAAATAGCTCAGAAGTATATTTTGAGTGTTATTTTTAGTTATGATAAAAGATATTAGAGAAGGAGTATTTAAAATTCAGTTTTTTACTGTTGGGTTGTATAACAGCTGTTTTCTATTTAATCTGTCATTATCTTTTGGTGTCTTGGATAGGTGCCCTGTTTGCCGGTACTGTCAAACTCCAGAGCCAGTAGAAGAAAATAAGTGTTTTGAATGTGGTGTTCAGGAAGTAAGTAATGCATGGTGGGAACGAATAATGAACACCGCTTTAATTGTCTGGGATTTTTTTCTGCCTTGCGAGGCTTGAAATACTTTTGTGAGACTGATTTTTTTTCTTTTTGTCTAGTGTCAGGCAAGAAATATAACTATAAAAACTATTTGACACCTAAGCAAAATACTTTATGGTTTTATTTTTTGTTCTTTGAAAAAGCCTATACTTTTATTGATAAGTTATGAATTTTTCCTTGCTATTTGCATGGAGTTCCATTAAAGTCAGAATAAGAAAATGATTGACCCATAAAAAGCATCCTTACTTTTGGATTTTAAATATATATTTATTCAAAGCTCCTATAGAAACAACTCTAAATCTTATTCTGTGTCAGCCCCTTCCTACCATGAGTCGGGCAGGTCATGTATTTTTATTTTATTTTATTTTTTCATAGAAACATAGGTTTATTTCGATAGAGACATGCTGAAGACAAAGGGCTGAAATAAATGAGTAATTGTTAACATAAAATAATAGAACATTTTAATAAAAATATTTTTTCTTGAACATTAACTTACCAGACACTGAATAACTGCACAGATTAATAAGCGTAACACAAATAAACCTATTTTTCTTGTTTTCCAAAAGCGAAATATTTCCTGTTGTGCACACCAAACAAGACAGTACAAGACTAATGATGTGGCCATCGGCTGCTAAAATATTCGCTGCTAGTATTAGTAGAGAGAAATGGTGCACCTGCACGTAGGCATGTAAGGGAAATGAATGCAACACAATTATAGTAATCAGTCATTAGTGAACGTTGTAGTTCGTTATTAATAATTATGTATAACAGGATATTGTAAAAATTAAGTTACGAAATTTTTATTAAAATGTTTCTTCCATACCGTTATATTGGCTGGGCTGCAAAAATATTCGTTGTGGGCCGCAAGTTTGACATGCTTGATGTAGAGTAGAGCCTTAGAGACTCAAGGTAAGGAGTCTGGAGGTTTTTGTTTTGTTTTTTATATATTTTACTGATTTTTTACAGAGAGGAAGGGAGAGGGATAGAGAGCCAGAAACATCTATGAGAAACATCGATCAGCTGCCTCCTGCACGCCCCCCACTGGGGATGTGCCTGCAACCAAGGTACATGCCCTTGACCGGAGTCGAACCCGGGACCCTTGAGTCCGCAGGCCGACTCTCTATCCACTGAGCCAAACCGGTTCTGGCGGAGTCTGGAGTTTTAAGTGTACTGAGAAGGAAAGGGAGTTTCAGTTACTGTATTTGAAAAGTTCAAACACAGCGCTGACTATGTCCTTGGACTGCTCTACGTGCTTTACAGCTATGCACTCAATCATTTAACAAGCCTATGAGATCGATGCCATTACCATCCCTATTTTACAGATAAGGGAACTGAGGCCCACAGAGATTTCATGACATCATCCCAGATGCTTGGATATAGCAGAGCTAGGACAAACTATCTGATGGATTTATTTATTTATTTTATTTTTTTGATATATTTTATTGACTTTTTACATAGAGGAAGGGAGAGGGATAGAGAGTTAGGAACATCGATGAGAGAGAAATATCCATCAGCTGCCTTCTACAAACTCCCTACTGGGGATGTGCCCCCAGCCAAGGTACATGCCCTTGACCGGAATCGAACCTGGGACCCTTCAGTCCGCAGGCTGACGCTCTCTCCACTGAGCCAAAGCGGTTAGGGCTGATGGATTTATTTTTAAAGTTCACTCTGGTTACAATGTGGAGGACAAAATGTAGATGGGCAGGAATAGTCCAGGCCAGCGATCATGGGGGCTTAGACTCAGGGATGACAGTGGAAGAAGTTAGAATGGCTGGTGTCTTACTCTGTTCAGATTGCTGTAACAAAGTACCAGTACTTTTACTTCTACAAAATGAAGCTTCTAACAGCAAAGAGATTATCTGTCATGTATTTTTATATAATTAAAATCATACCTTTTTCTTGGCAGAACCTTTGGATTTGCTTAATATGTGGCCACATAGGATGTGGACGATATGTAAGTCGACATGCTTATAAGCACTTTGAGGAAACCCAGCACACGTATGCCATGCAGCTCACCAACCATCGAGTCTGGGACTATGCTGGAGGTGAACACCACTCTCATTCTCGAATTTGGGTTCATTCTGTATGAAAACTTCTCTGTCAGAATCTCTCACAGCTTGAAACCTTTCTGACAGCTGTGGCAAACTCAAGCCCTATAGGGCACTATTTCCTATGACTGGTTTGAGTTGCACCTTATAAAGAAATTAATATTTGCACCTTAATATTTCCACTCTTGCCTTTCACTCTTTTTTAAATTCAAATGCTTTAGCTCACTTTTAAAAAAAATATATTTTTTTATTGATTTCAGAGAGGAAGGGAGAGGGAGAGAGAGATAGAAACATCAAGGATGAGAGAATCATTGATCAGCTGCCTCCTGCACGCCTCCCACTGGGGATTGAACCCGCCACCCGGGCATGTGCCCTTGACCAGAATCGAACCTGGGAACCTTCAGTTCGCAGGCTGATGCTCTATCCACTAGGGCTAGCTCACTTTTATTTTTATTATTATTTATTTATTTATTTTATTATTTTATTATTTTTAGGGATAGCTCACTTTTAAAGAAATACTGCAATTTAGATCTGTGAAAACAAAAATGTCAGTTAAAATAGTATGGGAGACCCTTTTCATTCTGAGAGAAATATACCTTGGTTGACTCATTCTTTTCTTTAGATAATTATGTCCATCGACTGGTTGCAAGTAAAACAGATGGAAAAATAGTACAGTATGAATGTGAGGGTGATACTTGCCAAGAAGAGAAAATAGATGCCTTGCAGTTAGAGGTAAGATAAGTTATTAGTAATTACTAAATAGCTTTTTACTATTCTAACTTGAAAGGTGTTTTAGATTTTTAATTTTGCCATTTACTCTGCATGTCAACTTTTTTTAAAAAGTTCTATTACTGCTATAAATGATTATTAGAATATTTTTATTCTGGTTTTCTTCCTTGAAAGTCTAAGTTTCACTGTGCCTTATTTTCAATGTGATATTCTGAGTTGTCTCAAGTTTCAGTATTAAGGTTGTCCTCTGTAGCTGCTCTAAAACTGGAAGTTAAGAATCTTTCTGTTGGCATTATAGTAACAGTTGTAAATTGAGCAGACTTGGTTGGAATGAGGAAACCTCAGTAGTATCTTTCCAGGGAGCTTTTCCCTATATATTGGCTGGCATTTTATGAATTTGATGCCTATATACATAAAGCCATTTTTGGGTACTCATATATTTGAAGAAACAACAAAATTAGCACAGTCTGTGTTTTCTCCATACCAGTAAATCCCGTCTACTGTAAAATTGATGTCATGTGCATTTAATGTTAATGAAGAAGTTTAACACAAGTCCTATTTTATATAAATTAAAAAATAATTGTTTTAAAAACAAATATCTTAACCTTGGGAGGAAATGGACATTTAAAAACTTGCTCATTTCCAGACTTTTAAGGTCTGATAGATCAGTATAATGGCCTAAAATAAGGCTTATGTTGTTACCGTTAATAAATTATATTGAAAAAATATTATATTGATATATCACAGTAGTTCACATCTTTTACATTAAGTTTTTAGAATGAGTAACCCTTCCGTAATAGTTAATAATAGTATGTCATTCAATGAATATTCATTGAGGGTTGCTGTCTGTCAGCCAGTCCTCCTGGTGGTGGGAATGTGGCATTAAACAAACTCCCTGCCCTCATGGAGTGTACATTCTAGTGACACACACGCATATTCTCCTGATTGTCCTTTCCCTCTGTTGCACTTTCAGTCTCTTCTCTAGAATGTGGTTAGATCTCTGCTAGTCTCCTAGAATAGTCTTTCCAAAATGCAGGTGTGATCTGACCAACCCTTGGCCCACATTCTCAATGTGATAACCCAGAGCCTTCCATAGACCCCAACTCTCCACACCCTACACCCCTGCCTTATTGGTACTTCTTCATCTCTGAAGAGACATATACATCACAGCTCACATCAAGGTCCAGTAGTTCTCTGGAACCATACCTCTCTCTTTATCTCCTCTTCCTGTCTGTTAAGAGCCCTCTCAAATCTCTTTCTTTCAGAAGTCCTACTATGTCCTACTGTCAGAAGCCATCTATCCTTTCCCCGCAGTTACACAGCACTGTTCATTCATCCATGTAATCAGGCAGCAAATGTTTCTTAACATCCAGCATGTGCCAGGCACTGAGGATATAGAAATAAAGATAGAACCCTTGCTTTCAAAGAGGCCAGTTGTGGAAGACAGGCAGATAAACCAGTAATTAAGTGCTAGTGTTATAAGTGCTATTGATAGGCATAGTGCTGTGGGAACTGAGAAAGGGGGCACGTAACCCAAGGCTGGGAGGTACAGGGTAGATGGATAACCTGATTTGAGTTACCCTTTGATTTAAAAACCATGAGGTTCTTTTTTAAAATACATTTTTATTGATTTCAGAGAGGAAGGGAATGGGAGAGAGAAACAGCAGTGATGAGAGAGAATCATTGATTGGCTGCCTCCTGCACGCCCCCTACTGGGGATCGAGCCCACAACCCAGGCATGTGCCCTTGACCATAATCGAACCCAGGACCTTTCAGTCTGTAGGCCTACACTCTGTCCACTGAGCAAAACCAGCACCATGTGGTTCTGAAAGTCAGTTTAAACAGGAACATATGTTTTTTTACTGCACATTTCCCTGTTTGTTCCTGACTAGATTGTAAGCTCCAGGAGGTCAGGAGTATAATTGGGGTTTAGTGAGTAGAGTGGAACCAAGGTGTAATATATATTTGATGGTTACTCTTACTCTTCTGTAGGCCATTAAAAGTAAGCTTTTAATTGGATTTCAGAGACTGACAACAATGACTTATGTTTTATTATTTATGTTTTCAGTATTCATATTTACTAACAAGCCAGCTGGAATCACAGCGAATCTACTGGGAAAACAAGATAGTTCGGATAGAGAAGGACACAGCAGAAGAAGTAAGTTTCTGGTTTAGTGACTGATGAAGTGCCACGTGGCATGGGCAATCTGATGTTGGTTTGGGAAAAGGCAGAGTACAGAGACAAAGGAATCTTTGAATCTTTCTTAGTCTGGTAGACAGGTAAAGAACTGTTCTGCCTCTAAAAAGAAACCTTTGTTCTATGTATGTCAGTTATGTTGCAGTAAAGCTGGAGTTAGGGGAAAGAAGAAAAGAAAACAATTTGGAATCATTTGGCTCACCTCAGTAACCTAACTCTAGGTAAGGATTCCAGAGAGAAGTGGTAAACACCTGAATTTTCATTATATTCGAGACTTAGCCTATGAAGGCACTATTGTGGGACAAGCTAGACCACAATGAGAATGAAATTAGTCAAAAAGGAAAAGGAAGAGAAAAAAGGCAATTGCAATCAACTAGGTATAGTATAAGAAGGGGAGAGAAGCAGACATGTATTCTCACCTAAGATTACTAAATCAAAAAGAATATATTAAAATCTTATTGTATACTGAGCTCTATACCAAACTAAGTTAAGGAAGAAATAAAATACCTGGCATGTACCTTAAAAAAAAGAAAGGAAAATAGAAATCTTGCATTTAAAAGCTTTAAATTTTGGGCTTGGGGTTTTATTTGGTAATTTCAATAAAGTTTTCTAGTGCCTTGTGTTATTCTATTTAAAAAATAGAAGTATATACATGAGAGTTTGTAATTTGAGTCAGCCAGTTGGTTTGTGAACTTGGGAACAGCTGCTTTGGGGAGCTGAACATGGGCCTCTGAGCCAACAAGATGTTACTTCTAGAAGTTGATGGGAACAAAATTGGGCAGAAATGCTAGAACTTCAATGGTAACCATGTTTCCTTATTGGTCTAGGACAGTGATTTTCAACTGGTTGTTCCATGGCACACCAGTGTGAATTTTTAAAACATAGAATACCTGACTATGCAGTCAAGGGCACGGACCTCTTTTCCCCTAGATCCTTGGTCGGCAAACTGCGGCTCGCGAGCCACATGTGGCTCTTTGGCCCCTTGAGTGTGGCTCTTCCTAAGCCTTAGGAGTACCCTAATTAAGTTAATAACAGTGTACCTACTTATATAGTTTAAGTTTAAAAAATTTGGCTCTCAAAAGAAATTTCAATCGTTGTACTGTTGATATTTGGCTCTGTTGACTAATGAGTTTGCTGACCACTGCCTTAGATTGGCAAATAAAAAAAATGACAACATCCAATACAGCAATAGCTGCCTGGTGTGAATGAATCAAAATGTATCCCCCCCCCCCCCTTTTTTTGTCAGATTGCAAAGCATACATTTTTGGTGTTCTGCAGAATTTTAGTAACTAGTTTATGTGTGCCATGAGATGAAAAAGGTTAAAAATTGCTGGTCTCAGGCAGTGTCTTCAGATTTTAACAAAGATGCCATTTTCAAAGAGATGCCACTCACTACAATATTTAAAAGAGAAAAGTGGTGTGGTTTTGGTTGAAACCTAGATGAAGGGCCCAGAGCTCCACCTGCTTGGTTTTCCCTTTGTCTCCAGCATGTACAAGGAGTTCAGAGGTTCCCAAAGAAGGAGGTTGAAAACCAGTGAGCACTGCAGGGTTCATGTATAATTAGGATGCTAGAAACCATTTTCTGAACCTATGGGCAGTATTCTTAATCCATCAATTCCCTTAGTATTAAATAAAGGCTTTGAGATGTTTTAAAATGATTGTCTTAATAATTTTGTGAATCCCCACCAGTAACTGGGTCTTCAGATGGAGAATGCAGAGCTGGGCCTGGGGCTCACCTCCAAGTAGCATTATCCTGGAGCTTAGCAGGCAGGGCCGAGCTCTCACTTTATGCCAGGCCCAGGGGCCCTGGTTTCTGGGTGTGCCTACAAATGAGGAGAAACTGGGTTTTTTAACATAAGGCTTAACACCAACTTTAAAATGATGTTTAGTTCAAAGTTCTTGATGAAATTCTTTACGACCCTTCCAAGTAATGGAAATGCCTTTCCAGAGGCACTCAAGTTCTGAATAGGGCTTGATTGGGTACATGGGGGAAGGACACACCTCTGACAGCACTCAGGAGAGAGCTGGCAACCCGAGCACCCTCACTAATGGGTTTTTCCACGGGCTATCCCAGCGTGACCATGAAGTGCTTCATGCAGACCCTTGAGAGCTAAGTTCAGGATTCTCTGCCTTTTAAGATTCTTTAGGATTAACTGCATTCTCTAACACATGCCCATGAAAAGTCCAGGCACAGGGGAGCTAAAAACTGTGAAACTTGTGTTTCCATTTAGGAAGTGGTAATATGGAGGCCCTAAATGAAAAGCTTGAAGGGCTTGAAAAGAATGCTTTGTTTTCTAATAACAAATGTTGCTTATCCATAAGGTAATGGATGGTTCAAGCCTTTTGTTCCTGCCACTGTCCTCCTTTTGCCCAGTTCTCTGCTCATTGGCACCTCCAGCATGTGCAAGGATTAACAGTAACCGACGTGGATCTCACTGACAGATACTCTTGTTCATGGGCCTCATAAAAAGTTAATGTGGGGGAGGGGGAGGGTGAAGGTTGAAATGGATTGTGAACTTCAGTTATAATACTATTCCTGTCCCCCAATGCCTTAGGTAGTACAATTATTCTAGCATGTGAGCAGAGTCTGTGGTAGAAAATGAAGCTCATCCCCACTTGAAGGTGCTTAGTTTTAACGGGGCCACATATGAAGAACACAGGTGCCGCTTTTCTCTCTGAACTCTAGACCCATGTTTTCAGACAGTTTTTCTCCAGCTGTGGGTGGGAAATGAGTTTGGTGGACCACAACTGGCATTTTTATTAAACAATAGGATAGGTGTAAAATATCAGAGTGCATCACATTTAAATATTGTTTTCCGAAACTCCTGTTTCAGTTGTGTCTTTTTATGTTCCTGGGTGTTTCTTACTTTGGGCTAATGGTCAGAAATGTTTTAAAAAGCATTAATTTAGCCCATTGTAACATCATCTATAGCAATATTAGAAAGCTTCTTGGTGTTGCTTGATATTTTTCATTTTGATTTAAATGTGTTCGGTTTAAGTCACTTTAGTGACCAAAACATTACAATTTTAAAAAAATATATATTTATTGATTTCAGAGAGGAAGGAGGAGGGAGAGAGATAAACATCAATGATGAGAGAGAATCATTGATCGGCTGCCTCCTGCACGCCCCCTCCTGGAGATCGAGCCCACAACCCAGGCATGTGCTCCCGGCCGGAATCGAACGTGGGACCCTTCAGTCTGCAGGCCGACGCTCTAGCCACTGAGCCAAACCAACTAGGGCCAAAACATTACAATTTGATTCCATTTCTGTCCTTTCCAATTCCCCTAAACTAACACGAGCCAGTTTAGGAGAAAATGTCAAAGGATTTAGTGGTCTTTTATGTTAAAGCAATATTGAGGAGAAAAATGAATACCAAACTAGAATTAAAGCAATTTTAAGGCTATTTTTATTTTTATGACATAGAAAAACTGTCAGAAATCTCCCTTTAATTGCATGCTTTTATAACTTAATGGTAGTTGGCTATAAAGTTAATTTCTCCAAAGTAGTTTTTTTCTTATTATTCAAAAAGGGAGACAGCTCTAGCCAGTTTGGCTCAGTGGATAGAGTATCGGCCTGCAGACTGAAGGGTCCCAGGTTCGATTCTGGTCAAGGGCACATGCCCAGGTTGTGAGCTCAGTCCCTGGTAGGGGCATGCAGAAGGCAGCCGATCAGTGATTCTCATCATTGATGTTTCTATCTCTCTCTCTGTTCCTTCTCTGAAATCAATAAAAAAATACATTTTTTAAAAAGGTGGACAGTGCTTTTACAGACCTATTAGGCCATATGGCAAGTGTTTAAAAAGGAAATGTTAAAAGCAATGGCCCTTTCTCCTGGATCTCTGCTGAGTTTAGAACTCACCCGGAGGTCACTTTTCTTTTGCTATAGAGAGGTTTAGAACTTGGCTTTGGACCCAGACTTGGGGTCCAGTCCTGGACCCACCACACTTTATTTAGCTGGGTAAACCTTGGGTATATTACCTCACCTTTCTGAAAGCCTCTGTTTCTGTAAAAAGTTGACATACCTAATCATAGGTGTATTATAAGGAGATACTACTTACAAAACACCTAGCAGGTGCCTGGGCCATAGGATTTAAATTCTCAGTTACTATCAGTTCCTATGATTATTGCCTCACCATTCACCTAGCCCCGTAGTCGGCAAACTGTGGCTCGCGAGCCACATGCGGCTCTTTGGCCCCTTGAGTGTGGCTCTTCCTAAGCCTTAGGAGTACCCTAATTAAGTTAATAACAGTGTACCTACCTATATAGTTTAAGTTTAAAAAATTTTGCTCTCAAAAGAAATTTCAATCATTGTACTATTGATATTTGGCTCTGTTGACTAATGAGTTTGCCAACCACTGACCTAGCCTCACTACTTCCTCTTTCACCTAATCTTCCCATGTTTTTAGAATGGTAGAGTTGAGGCATTTCCCAAATTTTCACACCTGAGTGAATCTAGTGTCTGCCTAGCTAGACTTCAGTAGACTCTTGGCTAGGATTGCTGCCATCTGACATAAAACAGCAGAATTTTTCAATTCTCATAAGTTTTGAAGACAGTGTAATAAGAATTAGTTCATATATATTGCCTTTATAAATGAACTCAATAAAACAAGAACCGATTCATGTACCATATGGCTTTATGGTACATGAGAAATTGAATAGTGAGTTGGGTTGGGGAACCCCAAACAGAATCAGTTATCACATCATTCTTAGAGTAGATGAGTTTCTTGCATTATTTGGATAATAGTTTTTGGAATGTAATCTCAGGAGGAGAAGAACGATGGTAAGTTGAGCATGGGAGGGGAGGCCCCGTTCCAGTGTCTCTGACAAACCATCTCCTGCTCTACTGCCTGGAACTGTTCCTTTACTTCCGAGCAGTTTCACTTGACCCTCAGCAGCTCCTGATCCTTTGTTCATCCTGGTATAGAGAAATAGTAACCAAAAAAAGAATTTCTCAAATATTTTATTCCTATTACTGGAGTTCTTTAAAATGATTATCTCACCTTTTCTAAAATTGGCTTGTCAAAGTTATACACAGGTAATTGGAAAAAAATTTTTTGAGAAATTAGCTCCAAAGGCCACACAACTTTGTCTTTGTGAAATGAAACTGATCTCTGTTTGCTTTTTCAGATTAACAATATGAAGACCAAATTTAAAGAAACAATTGAGAAATGTGATAATCTGGAGCACAGACTAAATGACCTTCTAAAAGAAAAGCAGTCCATGGAAAGAAAGTAGGTATAATTGGTCTGTTCTTTAAAGGAGGCATTTTATTGTAACAGGCAACATAAACAGATAATTTCCTTCACTCCTAAGGAAATACTCATTTTCAAGTGTATCACCAGGTTTTCAGGGGTCTATCTATATGTAGAGCAAACTTACTGTGACTTCCTTTTTATTAAAATCACGGTGTTTCATGCCAGATGGATGCTGTAGGGAATGCAGTGTTCTCTCCTGAAATGTGCAAATATCTTCTACATTTGCCTGTAGAAAGTAATTTCCTTGTTCCCAGAGCCTGAAGCTTCTCTGAGCCATGGTGGCTGAGAAATGATAGGAAAGAGACCGTGTCTAAGCTGGAGATGGCATGTGTTCTGACCTTAGACAGGAATTAAAGGCCAATGATATTGAATATGGAGCAAAAACCTCGTGAACAGCATGGCAAGACCATCACTCTACCCCTGCTATATGGGAAGATGGTTATTACTGATTGAAATTACTTTTCTGGTCTATGTTATATTCACAAAAATAACTGGATTTTTACCTCCAGACAAATGGGTAAAAAAATGTAAGGGTGATAATTGTTCCTTAAAAGTTTTTTAATAGACCTTTTATTGTGGAGTAAATGTAGATTTACAGAGGTTATAAGGTAGCACAGAGTTCCTGTATACCCTTCACACATTCCCCCAAAAGTTGGATTTTTAAAAATAATTTTTTATATATGTGTGGTAAAAATCTATATAACAAAAAACTTGTAACCATTTTTAAGTGTACAGTTCAGTGGCATTAAAAACATTCATAATGTTGTACAACTGTCACCACCATCTGTTTCCAAAATTTCTCATCACCACAAACAGAAACTCTTCACCAAAGGTTTAAAAAAACAACCACTGTGATAAAATCCCAACATTAGTAGAAATACAAATTAAAAATCCTCCTATACTTTTACCACCTTAATAAATTGAACTATATTAAAGAATTAAAAAGTGAAAACCGGAGGTGTTTTCCTAGATCCCAATATCTGGAAGTAACCATTATTTAACAGTACCAGTGAATATTTACTCTTACAGATCTGCTGTACCTATATAAACATCTCACATACACAGTCTTTTTTTTCTACACAATTAGAATAATACTACGTATTCTATTTGGTAAAATACTCTGGAGATTTTTTCCATGCTGGCACATTTTAGCTCTATCATGATCTTTGTAATGGCTGTGTAGTATTCCATTGTGTGTAGGTCCCATAATAATTTTTTAAATACATTTTTATTGATTTCAGAGAGGAAGGGAGAGGGAGAGAGAGATAGAAACATCAATGATGAGAGAGAATCATCCATCAGCTGCCTCCTGCACACCCCCCACTGGGGATTGAGCCCGAAACCTGGGCATGTGCCCTTGACCGGAATGAAACCTGGGACCCTTCGGTCCTCAAGCCATCGCTCTAACCACTGAGCCAAACTGGCTAAGGCAAACTTTTTGTTGTTGTTGTTAATCTTCACCCAAGGACATTTTTCCATTTATTTTTAGGGAGGTTGGAAGAAAGGGGAAGACAGAGAGAAACATCGATGTGAGAGAAACACATCAATTGGTTGCCTCCTGCACAAGCCCCAACCAGAGCCTGGGTGGGGAGCCTGCTACCAAGGTACATGCCCTTGATCGGAATTGAACTCGGGACCCTTTGGTCCACAGGCTGGCTCTGTCCACTGAGCCAAACAGGCTGGGGTGGTCCCATAATAATTTCAGGCAGTTCCCATTGATGGACATCTAAGTTGTCTCAAGTCTTCCACTATTGTAAACAACATTGTGATGAGCATCTTTCTCCATGTGTCTTTTCAGCGCATTCCTGAGTATATCTAGTTTACAGGATAAGTTCCTAAAAGTAGAGTAGCTGTATCAAAGGACCATGTGAAATTTCGACTTTCTAGTTAGCTCCAAGTTAACTCTGAGAATTTGTACCAGTTCCCACTCCAGTGCCATGTGTAGGAGTGCCTCTTCCCATGTGTGTGAGCTCTTTGGCATTCTGATACATAAAAATGGTGTTTAAATCTGTGGTTCTTTACTTATGAGTAATAAATGCAGTGAGGTCAGATCACTTGACTCTCCAAGAATGTAACTTTTCCTCATAACTTCTTTATCACCATTGTCCTTTCTGAAACCTATTTAACCACTACTGCAAAACAAGAGAAGCAGTAGAAGTTTTACCATAAACCATGAATCGCAGAATAGTTTCTGCTATGGAAAAATTTCTATGCCTAAAAATGAAAAATTGTCTTAAAGCTATACTTGGGTTAAGTAGTGCAAAATTCTTGCTTTGTGTAGCTGTTGCAGTGGTAGCAAACCAGTCTCCCTGAACAGGTAGGGAGGATTCCACCCTAAATGATTCTGAGATCATAGCTCCTCTGTTCAAGCTCACAGTAGATAAAGGTCTGTGTCAGCAAATGAAAAATGTGCTTTTGTCTTCCTTTGTTTTGTAAAAGGTGCACTCAGCTAAACACAAAAGTAGCCAAACTCACCACAGAGCTCAAAGAGGAGCAGGAAATGAACAAGTGTTTGCGAGCCAATCAGGTCCTCCTGCAGAACAAGCTGAAGGAGGAGGAGAGGGTTTTGAAGGAGACCTGTGACCAGAAGGATCTGCAGATCACCGAGATCCAGGAGCAGCTGCGTGATGTCATGTTCTACCTGGAGGCACAGCAGAAGATCAACCACCTGCCTGCTGAGACCCGGCAGGAAATCCAAGAGGGGCAGATCAACATTGCCATGGCCTCAGCCTCGAGCCCCGCCTCTTCCGGGGGCAGTGGGAAGCTGCCCTCCAGGAAGAGCCGCAGCAAGAGGGGCAAGTGACCTTTGCAGAAACAGGTGTCCCTGAGACTGTTTTCCCTGGCACGGCGAGGGTGTGCTGGGGCCTAAATGTGAGGGTGGGCCCGAAATAAGTACAAGTGAGGATCAAGCTGCAGTTGTTTGGATCTTTCATTTGCTAGTGTTTGGTGTAATGAATGTAGAGGGTTGACAACTAGGAGAACTGATGGAAAGGGGAATGTTTTAAATGGTGGCTGCTTTTTTCAACCTAATAGTTCACTAACCTCAGACATTCTAATGACCATTTTGCCTTCCTACTTGATAGATGCCCCAAATCTGCTGTACATTTTTCTGTTGTATTTATTGAGTTGGTGTTTTTGACATTCAGTTACGGGGTCGGTGGGTAACATTCCTAGTCCTAAAGCACCAAACCTCCCTGAGGTCATAGAAGCTGCCTTAGAGAGAGGTTTGCATTGGCTACTGAGGATTTATGAAAATTCCAGAGCATTAGTCTCATATCATTGTCATCCCTCCCTTCCTCTAGGGAATTGAAGGACTGGTTGAATGTTATATGAAAAGAGGCTGGGCCTGTAAACCAGGCACTGGCTTGTCTCCAGCAGCCATATCTTCTTGCCCCAGGGCTAGCCAGGAAAAACAACAATCCAGGGCAGGCTGAGTAGACCCAGTGTAGGAAAAATGGTGTTTCCACTTTGTTTATTTTTTCTTGCCTTTTTTTTCTTTTTTTAAGCCTTTTTTTTTTTTCTCCCAGAAAGGAAGGAAGAGGGAGAGAGAAACATCAATGATGAGAGGGAATCATTGATTGGTTGCCTCCTGCACACCCCTTACAGGGGAATGATCCCACAACCCGGGCTTGTGCCCTTGGCTGGAATCAAACCCAGGACCCTTCAGTCCGCCGGCTGACACTCTGTCTACTGAGCTGAACCGGCTAGGGCAACTTTGTTTGTTTTTGATGATTCTACACCTCCCCATGAACCTCAAATAAGGAGGAAACTTAATAGTGACTCCAAGACTCAAATCTCAGAATGAATTTCCTTGCATCTAGCAAGAATGAGCAGTCAGATTTATCATCCATGTGAAAATGTAGAGTGAGGCCTCTGACTAGCTGATTGTGTATTTTGCTGGAATCAGTATTTTTTGAATGTTTACAAAAGATTGGGCTGCATGTTCAGGTTGCGGCTAGAGGGAGCTTGGGCAGATTTTCAATTATGCTTTCAAGCTGTAACCAAAGGGTGTTTCTAAATCCAAAAATTAGAATTTTAACAGAGCCCCCTTTAAAACTGTCATATAATGCTTGTTGTAGGCCAACAGAGGGGCTGTGTACTTTCTCTAAAAACATAAACTCCAAATAATTCGTAATATGCAGTAATGAGCAAAATTACAATAAGAGCTGTTGGAATTTAGCTTTCAAAAGTGGTAAGTTGGATAGGTTAACAAGACATACTGTTACATGATGAGTTTGTTTTCTGCTTTATAATTAGCCAAAGTTCAAATTATCACATTTCAGAATTTTTTTAGCCAGCCTATGGGTAGGCCTCATCCCCTTTGACCTAAATGTCTTATAAGTTACTTGTTAGCACACCAACTGTATCGCTAATCACCATCCATTGTTGTGGGATGTGCTGCAGCATTCCCAAAGAACCTTACCTGTAACTTTGCAAAATGAATGTACTTAAGACATTCTCAATTTTTGGCAGACCGACTGTAAGTCCTCTTTGGACTTACCAGATATCTCAGATATCTTAGAGCAACAGTGGGAATGTAAAACATAACCTAATTCCCTTTCCTATAGAGATTCTATTTTATTTAAAATCTATTTTTACACTAGTTAGAATCCTGCTTTTTTGGCCAAGTACTTGTCTTGCATGTCTGACCTTGCAGAAGCTGGGGTGGATTGTAGCATACTAATGAAGAGAATTACAAGTGCTTTACAAAGCTTGCACACTCCTCATTTCTCTGTGATCACCTCTATCAAGCAGCTCTACCACCAGCTGGGAAAATGTAGATTTTCTGCATAGGTGGGATAAATGTTCTGGAAGCCTATTCCCAGAGAAATGAGCAAATGGGCAAATGTTTCCAAACTACTTGAAGGTTTCTAAAAAATGTTGCAGAAAATACAAATCTTATTAAGATATGGAAAGAAAATGTTTTTTAAAAACCTGTTAAAGAGTTATGTTTGAATTTGACAAAATTACATAAGATAGACACTGTCAGTGTTTTCTTCAGGGTGGAAATGAACCACTTAACATACCCATACTACCTTGAACAATGACATTGCATTAAAGTAACCAACTTTGAAATGATTCTGTTTCATGTGAAATTTGTGTGTCTCCTATTGACATTTGCTTGGGAGTTTATATCTAAATAATGTAAGAAAGTGTCAGTGGCCTGGATTTCAATCTTGCAACAATGTAGTGAGCAGCTAGATTATATTCATTTTTCTGCCCCTTTGCTCCCAACTTTCCTAACAATAAGTACCTGAACAGATACAGGATAGGAAAAATTATTTTAATTTGGAGGCTCAAGGTAGAAGACCCAGGCACAACTCTTGCAAACCAAAAGCAATGAATTTATACACCTAAGACTTTTTCCTAGGCCCGACACCATGCTGAGATTGTTTTATTTTTGGAAACTCACAAAATGTGACTTCCTAAGGATACACTGAGGCAGACCCCCTCCTTGCTTGCATAGTGAAAGTGTCCTCATCAAAAGGGCTGAGGAACTCCTACCTAAATAGCCAGCCAGCTGAGTGTGGAGAATTTGGCAGATCACAAATGAACGACCGTCTGTCATCACTTGGAAACCCCTCTCCTAGTGCAGTTGGGATCCACAAGCTACAAATACTACCCTTGAGATTTGGCTGCTTTATACCTGATGCCACATTGCTTGTGATGAAGTCCATGGGCTGATCTAAAAAAGGAAAGCCACTCACAGCATTTGAGGGAAATTATTTCGTTTTCTCCAGGATAAAACTGAATTAACTGTCGAGGTGATTCTGCTATGGTACTTCTTTCTTGGCAGCAGAAGGGCATTTTTCAGGAGTCTCCAGCCCTGACTCCTGCTCCTTCATGGCGCCGAGGGACAATTAAGCCACTCAAAGACATCACCTTTGGCGAGTTCAGGAAGCCACCAAGTAAGTGTTCCCTGGCAGGCCTCCGCGCTGGCCAGACTTCATTCTTGCCTGCGAAAATTTCTGAAACGGGAATCCCAGAATATCTACCTAGTGGCCTCACCAGCAGATGGAGCTTTTAAAGTTAAATGCTTAAATGACAAAGAGCGAAGTGGTAATAGGGAGAAAAGCCTTTCCCTTCAGGAACCCTGAGTTTTACCCCAGAGCCAAAGCCAAGTGTGTCCTCTGAAGTTGATTTTCCCCCAAACACTGTACTGCGGTCAGCTTGGAGCGAATGGAAAGCCAGTCTTTGGATTTGAGTTTTTGGGGACTTCAGGGGAACTTAATAGGGCTGCTTTTATTTTTTAATCTTTATGGGAGGGGTTGTGGCCTGTTTATTCTGGCTAATCTCATAATCTATTCCTTTACCTGCTCTTTTCATTTTTTAAAATTAATGGTAATCCTTTACCACTTAATGCTAACCTTACTTTGCATGCCTGAAACTTCACGCCCACCCCGGAATGCTCAGACACTAATCAATAATGGGTTCCATCAAACATTAAATTTGAAAGCTGTCGTTCCAGGAGCCAAAACTATTTCAGAGTCATTTTCTCTAGTACACTTTTGGAGCAGCCTCTCACTATAATTCGGAAGCTTAGGAGAGCATGAAAGGGGCACTGCATTGGTTCTTAATCTGGATTTTGCATTCTTGCTGTGGTAAAGAAGGCCAGGGAGAGATGAACAATCTGTTGTTTTACACAACATGATTGTGGTCCTTGGGGCCTAATGTTGAATTGCATCGGGTCAGAAACTTCTCACTGGATTCATCTGGAAAATGTGGTTTGGTACTTGGCACGGGGCTGCGCTGGTGCAGATAACATGCCTTACTCCAAGGCTAATTACCAAGCTCACTAAGTGAACTAAAGCCGTTTTGCTCTTTTGCAGACCAAGTTCTAAATCCCCTGACCTGAGACTCCTTTCAGACTCAGCCTCTCAAAATAAATGCAGAGAGGTTTGTCCAGTGGGTGAAGCCAATCAAAGTGTGAAATCATCTGCAAGGTCTTGGAGCATGAAGGTTTATGATACCCAGGATAAATCTACCCTAGCATATGACTGATGTTGCAGTTCTTTCCAAAAGATAACCCTATAGCACTGCACATAAATGTTGAATAGGAAAAACAGTTCTGGCTTGGCCTCCACATTTTTTGTTTTGTTTTTTAAATATATTTTTATTGATTTCAGAGATGGGGAGAGAAACATCAATGATGAGAGAGAATCATTGATCAGTTGCCTTCTGCACACCCCCTACTGGGGACCGAGCCCTGACCGGGACTCGAACCCTGTGGTTAGCTCAATGCTCAACCACTAAGCCACACCAGCTGGGCAGCCTCCATGTTTTTTGCCATCTTTGGCTGCAAGAAACAGCAGGTCCCAGAACAAATCTCCTCATTTAAAAAGGAAGAGCCCACCGAGATCCCCCTCTCCAGCTGTATCAATTCCTGATTGTAAATTCTCAATCCCTGGGTTGTGGCCCAATGAGCCAAAAGTTCAGATCTTCCCTAGGGGGTTGGGAGAAGGTGAATGCCATTAAAACAGTGGTTCTCAACCTTCCTAATGTCGCGACCCTTTAATACAGTTCCTCATGTTGTGGTGACCCCCAATTTCATTGTTACAAATTGAACATAATTAAAGCATAGTGATTAATCACAAAGACAGTATGTAATTATATATGTGTTTTCCGATGGTCTTAGGCGACCCCTGTGAAAGGGTCGTTCGACCCCGAAAGGGGTCGCAACCCACAGGGTGAGAACCGCTGCCATTAAAAGAACGAGTTGTTTCCGCCACTCGAGAAAACTTTCCTGTATCACTTGACATCATTAATATAATTATACTTAGCACCAAAAGACTTTGGGTGCTAACTGAAAAGAAGAAGCGCAAACTAATTTCTGGGCAGAAAGAACCGATCACTGAGAAAGACCTGGAAGAGAAGAAGAGTAAGCGGAAAATTTTAGGAGGAACGAGGGGAGTTGCTCTCTTGGACACATTCCAGCGGAAGGCGGATTGTGATGTATCGCACATAGCCAGAGGGTCCGCCAGCAGCATTTTCCAGGAATTAGCTTTTGTGAAAGACTTAGCCTTCATCACAGCTATGCCCACTCACACGCTCATTAGTTTATGCTTACCCTGAAACAGCCGGAACGGGTTTGCAAAAGGGACAGCAATGGAAGAGCCACGTCACAGCTTCCCCTCTCCCCCACCCCCACTCCACCTGTCCTCAGAGGAAAAAATTAAAATCCTCTTTTCAAAATGCACGCCTCAGGAAAACAGCTTCGTTGCATTTGTTTCCATGCTGCGGAAAATCAACACAAACTGGCTTGGATCCCAAACAGGGCCAACTGCAGAATGCTGAGATTCTGCAGCCAGGAAGAACCCGGAGGCCTCCTCCGGCCACCCTCCCCCCAGCACATTCGACTTCAATTATGTGGGAACATGCCTGGGCTGGGGGCTGCTGCCAGAACTCTCCTGGCCCTGCTAAAGGAGGCCTCGTGCTGCAGCCCAAAATCTTTCCTAAAAGTCCACACAGGATCTCTCAGTTGCTGCCAATACTTCACTTTCTCTTTGGCGAGATTCCTGGCTCTCTAGAGCCGGAGAAACTCTAAAGCTCTCCCCTGTGCCTTTCTCCCTCTATGTTGGATCCTCCTCTTCCTGCAGCCCTTTGCTCCTCACCGTTGTAAATATGCCTGCTTCTCAGAACCAGAATAAGCTCGAAAAAGATAACCCACACCAAGCCCCTCTCCCCATCTTCTTGGTTACCCCTCAGGAGAGAGCTGCCTTTTTGGTGAACTCTTAAAACCAGTGTTATTTTCACCTTCTGAGATAACATTCTTGTGGGAAGGGAGGCAATTGACGCTAAAATCCCTGATTGGATTATTCTTCTCCTGTGGGAGCCCCACTAGGAAAACCTAGAAGAACATTCCTATGAGAGACCTCATTTCCAGTGCTGGTTACCCCAGGTAGGCAATGTGGAGGGAGAGGGGCAGACCCAAAATCTCTGTTTCATTTGGTAGGACCCAAAGCTGATCCAGGCACCTGGCACTCACTGAGAAACCAGAGGCGGAAGCAAGTCCTGCCCTGTGGACGTTTGACTCCAAGCCTCGCTCCACTTCTTGGATTTCGAATCACTTACCCAACTACAGTTACGGTGCTGAGCACTTGCCATGTCCTGTGTTCATTCAATCCTCAACATCAGCCTGTGAGGTAGGTAGAGTTTGCCCCATTTAAAAATCGGGAAGCCAGGGCTCAGTGGAAGACAGTTCAGGACTCGACTGGCATTGACTTGAGGTCACATAGCTAATATGTGAGAGGGTGGTGCACAACCTCAGCATTCTCTGGCCCCCAAACCTGGGCTCCTCCCCTCCCTACTCCCCTAACTCTGGATCTTGGGAGCAGAAAGGACACCGTTCCCAGTGTCTGTTCTGTGGTTGCTTTAACTCAGTACATCTGCTTAACTAAGCTGGAAACTGAGTTAAGACCATGTTTGAGTAAATAAACCCATCCTGTATACTTACCCTCTTCACGGGACTTTCTGACTTCTCACTGTCTTCTGTCCCACTTCTCCGGGACCTGAGCCAGAGCTGATAAAGGAGGTTATAAACAATGCCAGTGGCTTTCCACACCGTGTCCAAAGGCTGGCTTTTGGGAAATCATTGCAATGCCTATTGTGGCCCCTTCACTCTGGGAGGCTTGGGGCCCAATACACACCAACCATTTAAGCTGACGCCTCAGTTCTTTTATACAGAGCTTCATGGAAACCAAGGTGCTTCCCTAGCTGGAAAAGTTGCTTCTAGAACAAAAGTCCAGACTTTTTAAGAGTGTAGACTCAGTTACTGCCTGCCAAGGCACTGTCAAACAGGCATAAACAGGCTAACTGGAAACTTTAGATTCTGGCACAATCAGCTTAAATGGTGGCTTCAATTTATTACAGAAAAATAGGGGAGAGAGAAAGCCTAGAACAAAATTGTTATAAACTACTGAGGGATATTATAAAGCAGTGCTAATTTGCAGGTATAAGTGGTATGTGTGTGGTGTGCAAATGTCTCCCAAGAGCTTTTTCTAAAATATTATAGCAGTCAAATTTAATTTATACTATAGATCCAATACCTATATTGTGTTATATAACTCTTATTTCTATTT